AAAGGCCCCTGCGCGCCCTCTGGCGGCCGCCTAGAGAACCCCGCGTTCCGGGCAGCCCGCGAAGGAAACTGCGCTCATTGCTCAGCGGTGCCCGCGCGCCCCCTGTTGGCAGACTGGTGAATCACCGGAGTTCTCCATGGCCCAGATCCACTGGCTAGTGGCAGGAGTGATGCTCTGCTCCATCTCTGCCTGCTCTCTTGGCGGGGACTTGCGTTGGACAGGTAGCCTACGAAAAACGGAAATCCTCATGTTGTTGAAACAGCTGGAAAATATCCCCTCTCAGTCATGCCTGAATGACAGAAACGACTTCAAATTTCCTGGGGAAACAGACAATATCACCCAAATCGAGAGGACACAAGTCACCTGTTTCCACCAGGAGATGCTCCAGCAGGTCTTCAACCTCTTCAGCACAGAGCACAGCCGTGCTGCTTGGAACACCACCATCCTCGACCAGCTACTCTCTAGACTTGATCACAGCCTGGAGCGGGTGGAAGAAGAAAATCTGGCTTGTCCTTATTTGGGAATTGTTGTCCGGAAGTACTTCCAAGGAATCCATTGCTATCTGAAGGAAAAGAATTTTAGCCCCTGTGCCTGGGAGATTGTCAGAGTGGAAATGCAAAGGTGCCTTTCCCTCATGTGACAATCTTCAAAGAAAAGTCAACAAATAAATAAGAAATTTAAACACATGACCCTCCCTGGTAAATTATATCATTGTCTACTAAGCCCTCAAACAGCAATCTTGACTCATAATTCTGCACCAGCTGAAAAATACCTGAACAAAAATCATGATAAAATTTTAAAAATGTATTGTATATTATGATTTCCCAAAAATTTCTTTATAGAGAAGAATATGGTCTATTTTCTTAAATAAATAATTTTCTGACCATTTTTTAAATTTATTTAATGTCTAGAGGGTATTTGCTGTTCCCAAAGGGTGAAGTTCATTTTCTTATGGAAAGATTCTTCAGGATAGTATATGGTTAAAGATATTTGTCGGTTAAGTTAATGCTCGCTGCTGTAACAGATAAACAGAAAAGTGTAATTTGATCATAACAGAAATCTATCTTTCCTTCATGTAAGAGCACAATGCAGGCACTTCTGATTAGATAAATCTTCTTTTCTTTTTCATTTTTTCTTTTTGCTGAGGCAGATTCACCCTGAGCTAACATCCACTGCCAGCCAATCTTCCTCTTTTTATATGTGAGCCACCTCCACAGCACGGCCACTAATAGGCGAGTGGTGTAGGTCCACGCCCAGGAACCCAACCCAAGCCACCAAAGCAGGGCATGCCAAACTTAACCACTAGGCCACCAGGGCTGGCCCAGTTGAATCTTCTTGTTGGCTCTTCTCCAAACAGTGATTCAGGGACATGGTACCCTCTATTTTGTGGCTTAGGCATGTTCAATGTGTGACTCCCAATCTGTCTGTGGTACTTGAGTCTATTCCACTCGGTTGTAAAGAGAAAAAGGAAGGTGGATCACATGGGATGTTTTCAAGGGCCAGGACCATACAGGGCAATATCACTTCTGCTCACATTAGTTGGCCAGAATTTCTTCTCATGGGACTTCTAAGTGCAGAGAAGCTGGGAAATAGACTCCAACTGGGTGACTAATGGAAAAGAAGACAAGTATAGTGAATGAGACCACTTTTCATTTTTGCAGTATATATACGGATGCTTTTTTAGGGGAAAAAATAATAAATGTCTTCACTGCACACAATTCAAGTAAAGAAAAAAAACTGACCCAAAATCTGATTCCACCATTGAAACCCGGGGAGATGACGTAGATATCACTCGTTCGAGTTCACAGTATCATTGACCCTTTGAAAAACTCATTCAAGTTGAGGCCCAAAGGCATAGGCTAAAGTTGGAAAATAGCCACGAGTGTGGAGACAACACAAGTTGTTTCCTTATTACCTGAGGGAGCCCAGGAAAGTATTACCAGGTAGCCCCTTGCAGGTATTGAGGATACTGGAATAAAAGTGGAGAGTGAGTCTTCCATTCATGACCAGGCCCAGGATTTCCATCCTGATATTCAAAATATTGAAAATGCACACTTGAAGAAAATACCCCTGCAACCAAACAGTTTCTTTTAAATACACCACACAACATTAAATTATAACTTCTCTTGTAGAACC